AGAATACATTTAAGCTGTGAAGGGCGCCGAAATGTTGGCCATCGCACATTGAAATGCGTGTTAACAAGCTATTGCAAGCCCATCAAACAAAGTCCATAAGATGGCATTAGATATTCGTTCACAGAAAGAACGAAAAAAAAAACCCATGTATTATATGTAATGATGGACATTGGATGTGAATATTTTATTAAAACGGTGAGCTACTTTCAAAAGTAATTCCACTAATGTTGCTAGTTGTAACGCACCTCACGATCACTCACTACCACTTACCACCTATCATCGCAGTGATATGCGAGTCGAGTGAACAAACTAAAGTCTCTATTCGCTTTTTGATAAACACGAGTTTCTTGACGGATTCAACGAGAGACCTAAGAAATCACATTTTTGCTTCAACGCTCATGACAAGAAATTGACAAGCCAATGTGGCTGGAGTCGTGCACTTGATGTCATAGAATTCACATGCTAACGACTTCCTTCGGTTTAGCAGTTGTTGTTACGAGTCATCAGCTGTTTTCGACATTTTAGTAGGAGAGACACGGTCTGATCGCCTTTTCGACGTAGGTCGGAAATTTGAATTCCCGTTCTCGTCGACAAATTTGTATCATCAAAATCTCAACAGGAAAGGATAATCCGACAAAAAAATTGAAGCTACTAATTGCAACTCTGAATACTCTAAAAAGTGTAACAATTTTCCAGAAGAAGGCTTGCGCTCGTTATGCCTGATATGACAAACATGGACACTGCTGTTGGCAACTTTTTTTCGTGCATCGCGTCGTCGCAGTTCTTCAGAGCGTTTACAGAGATTCCGAGTTCATCACCAGAATCATTTTGAATCGGACATTCAAATGAAACATCACATCAGTTGACTGTCGGCTAGAGGTGACATATTTTTGTGACATGCTGCATCTTGTGACCGTAGGAATTTTCATGACAAGCATCACGTGATGTATACTTTAAGGACGTCCAGATATCTACGTGACTACTATTAAGATCATCAATTGGAAACCAGTCTTCATCTTTCCTGCTTCTGGTACTGATATTCTACATCGATAATGATGCTACTGTAACAGGAAAAAAAAAATAATTGTGACGAAGACAAATAGACTATGAAGGCTTCTATGTATTGAGTAGGAAGCTTTGCTTAGCCATGTTTTCCATGACCCACCTTCCACTGAACACAACTTAAGTCCTTCTTCTAATCGATAAAAATAATGGATGGCGAAATTGCTCACTCTCATAATACTCTGATAAGTTCCTTAGCCGCGACTAAATGACATTTTGCTCGCATAAATGCAGTTCGTTGAATGTTCCACCAACAATCTATAATTCGAGAAAGGATTTCTTGGAATAGAGAAAGCAGGTGGAATGAGATCTAATTATCGTCTCTTGCATGGTGACATGGCCATGTTGTTTTTCAATTTCCTTAGAAATCAGGAGTTTTTGTATTGATATATACTAGAAAGACCTTCTTCGTATGCTAGAATCTAGATCTGTTTGAAAGAGCACACTGCAAATACTGCGAAAAGAAATTGGCATGTTAGAATTAAGAAGGTAAAACTAATGGAAAGATGTTGGTTTCAAGGTAACCTAGTCCATTTGAAATTCTTCAAATGCGTCTTCTATCTATATTACGATAAGCTAATAATTTCTCAAAATTTTAAGACTGAAGAAAGCAGTATAGAGCGTTGTGACATGAATCGCGTGCATATATAAAATCGTGCTAGTATTTATCATTTCAGGGTGAATGAGCAACACATGAACTCCGCTTGAAATCACGGATCTCTAGAAGGTGATTTCATAAGAGCTTGGAATAAAAGGATAAAGAATAAAGAATAAAGCTCTCGGTGTTGATCAATCCCTGTGGGATGCGCCATGCATTCATCTTTAGTTCATAACTTCGTTTCAGGTGATTCAATGCATATCTGGCCTTGAAAATAACTCGCGGTGGCCTTCCACTGCGCCGAATCAATGCTGTTTATCCTCCCAGACAAGTCTGAGACCAGTCTGATAACAATTTACCGACCCCTGAAGAGATGGATGGCTGGGTGAGCCATGAGCGCGAAATCGAACCACTCTGAACTCGTGTGCGACGCAAAGCACTTCTAGTCACTGCGCCACATGCGCTCTTCTTGTAAGATCTCGTAGTGCGATAGAAACATTTACACAGCCGCAGAAAAAATATGCTCAAAACATAACGAATGCATAGCATTTACGGCTGTTGGTACAGTAGAATACGAGCAATTTTTCATAATAAAAGATTCTTTTTGATAGGATCTGAGAGGTGACGAGTACGACAGAATCGTAGAAGACTATCATTCTGTTCTAATTTCACGTTAGTCATACAATTAGACAACTCGTGCTCATCATTAAAACACATCACTTAATGAACGGTGGTAGATTTTCGACAATACACGGTCACTGTTCAACAACTAGACGACTTCAGTGATTGAACATCATAAATTTATGGTAAATACTCTGTCCTATCGTTCTAGCGATATATCTGTTACTGTTTACTATAACTTATTACACTCATCCATGCAAACACAGCTCCCATTAAGTGAAACTGTTTTGTAACCTCTGTTAAACTTGTTACAACAATTTCTATACTCTTATATGAACAGGGTCATCATAGCCATTATATACATCATATGTGCTACAAGGTGGATGGTACTGGCTTTCCTATAATCCTCCATAATTTTTTGATAACTGAACGCATTGAGGGCTTAACCTTAGACCGCCACTATAGAACTCTTTTCTGAGGCATAATGATGCGTATCGATTTCTGAATATTTTAAGTTTAGGTTTAAATTAAGCATTAAACTTTTCCAGAAACGATTTACCTCAGTTGAATAGTAAATTTTGCGTGATTTTGGCAAAGATCACTAGATTCCAAAGGTCTTCATTTCATATAACAAAAGGGTTGCCAGCTAACATATAATTATTGAAAGTATAAATGCTTTCGGACATGCATGAAATGTAGGTAAAGATCGATCAGTGGTTTCGAAAATCGACCGCAGTCGTTAATTTATTACTTTTAAAGAATACAAGAAAACCCGCCTAAACTGTATACGTAGCAGAACTTCTTATTCTTATAGACAGTGAGAAAGCTGGAAAAGCACAGGACAACGTGAAAGCCGCTTTTCATTTCATTGAGAAATTTGGAGGATACTAATTAGAAAATTAGCATTGTGATGATGACGATATGTGGAGCAAGGGTAAGTGGTATAACACTATAACCCTTCCGCTACGTGCCGCATAAATAGGACAGTGATTGCCACGCTGTCTCGGCCTATGGGGAACTACTGCGATGGTTGCGCGCCTCGAAATATATCCGGCATTCACTTGATAAACTTATTTCATTATTCTTATTCTTATTCCACTCATTTTATTCACACGAGAAGCATTGCATCACTTTGCAATCAAATTATAAATATTCGCAGCATACTACTAATAAAAATTTCTACTTTAAATATGCCCGAATATTTCCAAAAAAGTTTCACACTGTTCATTCACATCGTTGAACATAGATTTTCACCTTGAAAAACAAAAATTTTCTCCAACACTTGGTTTTTTATCGCTGATTGGGAAGCATTGGCGTTGTTTCCGCCGCGGGCAGCCTTACTGACGTCTCTATAGTGATACTATCCTCTTTGATGATCACAAGACCCCTTTCAGTGACGAAAAAAAGTGACGAATTACAAAACATTAATATTGTGACCATGATGTACTCCGCCTACAAGTCAGCCGTGTCACGTGTCATGCAACAGTCAACGTGGTATCGTATGGGCCTCGAAACGAAAAGATCCCTGATAAATTCTGATATAAGCCGCCTAGATAACTTCTACTTTGGTCCACAAATCGTTGAACTTTCATGAATTGATTCGCCGAAATTTAGAAAACGATTGTGGACGAACAGATTAGGAATTGTGGAGGGTGTTTTGAAAGAGCCAACAAGCGCTGAAAAGATAAAAGTGTTATCGGTGCATTTGAAGTTTACGACAAAAATGCTGAGATACTATCTAATATTGGAAGCTAATGCGACTTCGATCACGCGACTAACTTTCCATAGGTAATTTCTCGGCATTGTTGTTGTCATATTTCGTAAAAAACCCTGCCGCTAGGAATGAACTGGGCAGTAGATAATGAGTAAGAGTTCTCATCTTATCAGATCTCTTCTTTGAAGAATTTACCAGATAACTATAGTTGAGGGATTACTAAATTCCAGTCGCGCTCTTCCATGCAATATTAGCACAGCCAATGTTCTAGTAAATGGTAGATTTTAAGCCGTGTTAATCAATCTCAATCTTCTCAAAAATTCAATCTATAGTCGATAAGTCAGGATCTACAAGATTAGACCATTCACCAAATTTGTAACATTCTCCTTGACATAGATACCCACTGATGTAGAGTGATGTGCAAAACTTTCGGGTCAGGCGGGACTAGAACCCGCACCTCACTCTTTCCCGGAATGCGTGCGCTATCCGTTACACTACTGACGCCCATTTTGCACATCGCTCTTTCTACGTTACAGCGCATCTATCTGTCAGCCGCCAGCCGAAAAATAGCCGCACATGTGGTTTGAGATAAGAGCGAATATTCGGAGAAAGTTATCGATTGAAAGTATTGCAGTAATCGCAGAGTAAGAATGCGAACAAATGAATCCAATTCAGTTAGTCGTGAATCCGCTCAGCATATGTGAAGACGAGACATTTTGAAATAAAAAAAATAAAAAAATGAATGTAGGTAATCGATCATCGGTTGCGGCATGATGGTCAACTATTTCTTTGTGACTTTCTTGGAATAGAGTAAGTACAAAATCTCAATTACATCTAACGGAATACCTTTTTCAAAACTTCGTGATTCTATTGATCATCCTTTAATGTTGTAGAACCAATATGAGACGATATGTTCTCCGACCCTTACAGAAGGCGCGTGCTACCATTACACTGCCAAAGCAAACACTTTACAACCACTATTTCTTCAACACGAACTGTCGATGGACCTTGGTGGTGTAGTGGTAACACGCGTCCCCGAAGGTTGAAACGCCGGTTCAATACCAGCCTGAGGTGAAGTTTTTGCGCACCACTCAGTCTTCCTAGATGTATATTTCAACATCATACTTCTGTCACTCTACAGTACCCAACTACATGTGGTTCACCCTAGAAGCTCTACAATTTTCTTCCAAAGAATGGACAACGAGATACTTTTAGAAGTTGTAAAAACATCATCTATAATTCTAATAGTATTTTTCAAGAATTCATGACATTTTTTTGTCCTTTGATATTCCATGCCCATGTTTTTTTTTAAATTTATCTGTTCACCAGGAAATCTATTCTGTTGTCTGTTATTTTTCTTACACAAAAAACGTCTTGAGCGATCGAAAATATGTGAAACCTCTAGCTACCTATTAGCTTGATAAAAACCATCTGGAAAAAAGAAAATGACCACGCAGAAATCTACCAACGTCGCAAGAGATGCGAGAAGGCAATGAGAATGTGTAACCATGAGAACCTACTAAACAGTGAAGGATGTCATTATCTCTGTAAAAGCTCTAAAAAAGATCAATTCCATTCGGACTCCATTTCAATTCAAACCTAAGCTTAAAATTAAGAATAAGCTTAAGCATAAACCTAAGTCCTAGCCTAGGAATGTGCCTAAGAATAAGCCTACACATATGCCCAAGTCTAAGCCTAAGAGTGCATCTAAGCCTAACCCTATGCTTGAGCCTAGGTCTAAGCCTAAGCCTAACCCTACGGCTTAGGCTAAAACAGTGCCTAAGTCTAAGCTCAAGCCTAAGCCGGAGAAAAAGCTAAAGAGCTATACCTAAATCTAAACCTAAACCCAAGCCTAAGTACAAGCCTGAGACTGTGTCTAAGCCTAGGACTGTGCCTAAGCCTAAGCCAGGACTTGTGCCCAAGCTTAAGTCTAAGCCTAAGAGTGCGCCTAAGCATAAAGTTACATCCGAGCTAGGTCTAAACCTAAGAATAACCCAACGGCTAAGCCTAAGACTGTGTCTAAGCCTAAGCCTGAGCCTTAGCCAAAACCTAAACCTAAGCCCAAGCCTTAGCTAAGTCTAAAACTAAGACTGCGTCTAAGTCTAAGCCTAGGCCTGTGCCTAAGCCCAAGTCCAAGCCCTAGCCTAAGTCTAAGCCTAGGCCTAACCATATTAACAAAAATGTCGAAGTGAGAAAGAAATTGTGGGAAACCCCATGTTTAGATAGAAATACACGGAACAGCAAAGAATAGCCTTGTGAAAATCAATCGTCAGGGACCTATGTACTACCCGACTTCATGTTTATAACTATGCATAAGAACTAGTGTACATTGTCATCTCCACAAATTAGGATGAAACACATAGAGTCTCAGACGCCCAGTATAGCTCCTGATCAGTGTCTTGCATTAGAGGCAATATATGAATTTTAGTGAAATAGTTGTGCTGAAGTTGAAGCAGTAAAGTTGAAAACGGAAAGGAAATCAATATAAATGAAAAGACTGAACTAGTAGAACATTATGAAAAACTTAGTTAACGAAATTGATAAGCTGAATATATATATATATATATATATATATATATATATATAATGTCGAAAAAATCTTCATTAAATGATATGAACCATTGCTGCATCTCGAGATTTAAGAATCACTACTCGAGCAATACTTCGCGTTAAATTCATAAGTATTACTCGAAAGTAACGGACGCTGAGAACTTAGCTTTTGAGGATTCCGTGTAATACAAACATAGATGCTGGTCAGGCCCTGCCCTAATGAGATTACCTCGAGATTCAAAGGAGAATTCACTCAATCAGCATTCACTGACCGTCATAAGAAAGACAAAATTTCTCAAAATACAGCTTAATCCAGCAGCGAAATGTGAGAAACGTTGCGGATGACGAGTTAAAGACATCGCAGTAAATGAGAGAATCCTCAGTTGGAACAATGTATACGAAAGCATCATGAATAAAGAAATGACATAAAGAAAGTAATCTTAATAAAAGCTCAGAATTAGAATGGCAGTTTGAAATGTCATGGTCTCAATTTCAAGAATAATTTCGGGAACCAAAACAAGAATGTCGCCAGCAACGAGGTAAAGTTTTGGCAAATGGAACAATAAATTAAATAACATGTGAAGTTAACACTAGGTACGGATTCCGATGGAGCTTCGACGCCCCATATTTCCCTCAAACGTTGAAGACAAATATCAATTGCTTTCACTAAATCGAGTAGCACTGTATATATATGTCTTGTTTTCGCGGATTGGATACTTCTATACACTGCAAATAACAAAGTTATAAGAGATCCAAACTCCCAACGGAGCTCACAATCCAGCAAATAAATATCCGATTTGAATTTTGCCTTTGGGAAAAGAAAGACCTCTTCTCTCTAGTTTAACTTCATAGAGCACTGAATAGTTTGTTAATTGAGGCCTGTCTATTTTCAAATAGTCACACATTTCTATACACTACCTTACCCACTACCCACAGTACTTCGAAACTCAAATGCTGATCCCAACTAATTTCACGGGAAATAAAAACCACATGGGGGCTTCAACCCCTAAGGGGCGACGTGTGCCAGATGTAGCACACGACTGTTTGAAAGCTTCTCGCGCTGGACAAAGTTTTTCTCTTAAACATTTGATAATCACTCAGAAGCTTAAGCTGTGCAATTTCATTAATATGTTTGTCCTTCTTACTGCGTTTAAACATCCAACATAAAATTATTTCTCACATTGATTTTTTCTAAAAGCTCGGCTCGTGCTTGTATATGGCTCATGTCAAATTCTACTAGTCATTAAGTAGCCCAAATTTCGAAGATTTATTGGTTTTTGAAATTGTCACAGAACTCTACAAGAGCGAAAAGAAGATTATGCTTCGCACTCAGAGTTCGTATCGTACAGAAAAGTCATATATGCACGAGAAACATATGACCATGAAGAGAAAATAGTAGAGTATCAGACTAACCCAAAAAAAATTCAGTCTTGCATTACAACTAGAGGGAAACCCGAATTGAAAAACGGAAATCGCGCGCTCCTTGGAAGTTGCGCTGTGCGATCTATCAACTGCCGTTACTAAAATGTTAACGTGGGTTACAATCCGATTCGGGGCACCATCAGTGTGATACTTGAAGTTCCGAATGAAATTTCGCCATCTCAAAGATCGCTTTGTGCATACCGATTCCCACTGGGTAACACTGAACTGTGTCTGTGCACTAGACCGATGTCTTACTGACAATGTAATCACGACTCGGCTTTACTTTTAAGCTTACACAAGTGCCATTTTGTGTTTTCGAATGTATGGAACAAAAACTAAAAAAGAAACTTCACTTCGATAAAGATAATATTGTTTCGTTTCTGCATGTTAACAACATACTCGAACGATCGAAATTACAGCAGATGATGCCAGATTAAACAATTACCTTCAAATCGAGTAATAACATAAACGTTCATACAAACCATACAGTTAAAACGAGCGACTTTTTTCTCGTGAACTTATTCACTTTGTTGCTGTCTTTTCACTTATATGATACTCAATTAATATTCGAACAAAAAAAAAAGCGTTCCCATAAAACAGATACGAAGTTAGTTCAGTCGTCCCATCGAACATAATTCTTCTTCGCACCTAAAAACAAGCATGATGATTCAGCAAAAAAAGACTCGAATCGCAAACACACTAGAAAAATTGCGCAACCAACTTATGAGGGGCGCGAGAGGCACAGTAGTTAGAGCTGCTCTGCGAGACACACGTGGTTTGTCATCGATAGTTGATGGTTCGATTCCGTGCTCAACGCTCATCAGGCTTTCCTTCCTCCAGGTTCAGTCAATTGGTACGAAACCTATACAGGAAAACAGCTGCACTAACTCGGTACATCGGTGGGCCACTGTCAGTCATTGTAAAGGTCACATATGTATTAAATCATCTCAAACAATGTCAGATGAAGACCGACGCATAGCGTATCTCTCGGAGCTTGATCAACTTCAGAAGTTCTATGGTTTTTCCTTCTAACTTACGTCGCAAACGACAGTGTCAACTGAGAAGGCCGAATTGAAACAACTGTCGTGGTGAAAAAGAACGTTATAAAAAACTACTATATAATTCTTATTTCACAGCCATAGTTTTTTTTACGAGGAGTAACAGTGATGCAGAGAATATTTTCTATGAAGTGTACGAAATGCAGAAGAGAGGAACTGCAAAGCGTCGGAGAATACTGTTTGATGGGATATTATTACCCTGAAGACGACTCAGATATGTATCTGGTTCTCTGATCACAAAGAACAACTGATTTTAACTAGCCTTAGTCTTTGACAATAAGTGTTGATTTGAGAAAAAAATCCAAGCACCAATGGCCAAAACCCAAACTTAGTCGGTAAGAAATGGAATTTGCCAACGTGAAAAATAAAAAATAGACCTCTGGAGGTCGATCAATTCCTGAGGATTGCACCACACATTTGCCTTCATTTAGCTTTGTCTGAGGTGATTAAGTGCACATCTGGCCTCCATTATGACTTATAACGGTCTATCGATGTATCAAGTCAACGTTACTATCTTCCCAAACAAGTTTGGTAGTAATTCACCAACCCCTGGGAATATGGGAGGGCTTGCTGAGCTTTGAATGCGAGGTCGAAGCATCGACCATCGATTGTTCAACCATGTGTGGGTCGTGGAGCACCTCTAACCACTGACGCCACAAACGCTTGCCGAGTGTTTTCATGAGATTCAGTAGCATGTTCGTCCTCATTTCTATTCCATCATATTTTGATGTCTTCACACTTGCAAGCAAAAGTTTAGAAAAAAGTCAAATTCAGTTTCCAGACCTTTCGCATCGGCTATCTGCTTCTCTTCCATCTTACGCTGTTCCATACTAACCGATGAACGCTTCCCTAATGCACTTTCCACCATTCGGCGAGCGATGCTAACATTGGTTTTTGGACGCGATCTGATAGAGAAGCAATCAAATTTGATTGAGACAGGTGCGAGAAATGTCTAAATTAGTAACCGAAGGGTGTAAATAGGCTACCTCGTAGGTCTCAGCTGCGCCTGGATCTCTAGAGCCTTCACTTGAACTCGAACTGGAG